ATGTTGGTCAGGCTGGTCCTGAACTCCTGACCTCGTGATCCGCCCACTTCAGCCTCCCAAAGTGCTGGGATGACAGGTGTGAGCCACCATGCCCAGCCAACACTTTTAAAATAAGCCTTAGTTCAGCTAAAATAAGTTGGGGAAATAGGTAATTTTATTTCACTGACAACAAGGTTTATCTAGTAATCACTTCTTAAACTTTGATGTTTATAAAAATCCCTGATGGATCTTGTTAAAATGCAGATTAGGCTGGTCTCGAGCTCCTGACCTCAGGTGATCTGCCCGTCTCGGCCTCCCAAAGTGCTGGGATTGCAGGCGTGAGCTGCTGCGCCCGACCTGTTCTATCATTTTTCTAGAAATCAGATCAGGTTCTACAAACGTGACAGCAACACAATGGACACAGCTTTAAGCGGGAACTTTTGTGAGCATTATCAGTCACAAGCTGCAACCTCGGGTGTAAAATCATCAGAGTCCTTCACTCGCGGTCTGACGGAATGAAGATGAGTTAAAAGAGAAGTCGAAAGGAAGAAGAAGGAAGAATAAAGCACACTGCCACACAGAACTAGCAACTTGTGGCGGGGTAGTTCTTCTAGGGAGGCACCTCTAGATAAATTGACAATGAGTCGTTTTCACTGTATTCACCTTGAACCCCATGAATGTGACTTGTCCGGAGGCGATGTACCGTCCGGACCTGGAGATGGCCAAGCAGGAGACGTTGTTGCCGTGACCCTGTAGGAAGTTCTGCTCTTGAGTATTTATTGCCTGAATGAGGATTGTGCAACCAAGAGGAAAAATCAGATGCTCCTGGTCAGGATGGCATTTGAGACCAGTGGGCACATGTCCTGAAAGAGAGAGATGCACAGTAATAATAATCAGCTGCAGAAGTGGCTGGGAAATTTTCTACTTGAGTACAAAAGACAACACTTTTTTTTTTTGAGACGGATTGTGCCAACCAAGCAGAAAAATCAGGATGCTCGCTTGCGTCAGCGATGGCATTTGGAGACCCAGCGTGGCACTGATGTCCTGAAAGAGAGAGTGGTGAGATGCCACAGTAATAATAATCAGCTGCCCCCAGAAGCATGCGCTGGGCAAAGTCTTTGTCTTACTCTCCGAGCTATACAAAAGACAGACACTTTTTTTTTTTTGGACGTGTGAGTCTTGCTCGTTCACCCAGCCTGTCCGAGCTGCCAACGTGCAGACTTGGCCTCGAGAGCTGCAACTCATCTAGTTTCCTGCGGTTCAAGTGGATTCTCTCTGCCTTCAGCCTCCCGAGCCTAGCCTGGGTAGTTACAGGCAGCCTGCCCCCGCACACATTCAGCCTAATTTTTTTTTTTTTTTGCGTTAGTTTTAGGCTGAGATGGGTTTTTTTTTTTGGTGGAGCCGCTGTCGTGCATCCTATGTTGGCTCAGGCTGGCGGTCCGTGAACTCGCTGATTCCTTCTATGGATCCGCCCCCACTTCAGCCCTCCAAAGCTTGCCTGGGAATGACAGGTGTGAGCCTCCCACCTGATGCCCAGCCAACACTTTTAAAGATAAGCCTTAGTCAGGCCTAAAAAATAAGTTGCGGGGAAAAGGTAATTTTATTTCACTGACAACAAGGTTTATTAGTAACACTTCTTAACTTTTGATGTTTTATAAAAATCCCCTGATCGGATCTTGCTTAAAATGCCAGCATTCCTCATTTCAGGTCGAAGAAGGCCGGTGAGATTCTCGTAGTTGTACGTCATAAGCTCGCTTAAGCCTTGAATGCTGATGCCTGCCCTCCCAGCAAGCCTGTACGGCGCCAGATTCTCCGGTGATTCTAAAAATGCGTTGAGCTGGTGCCGGGAGCGTGCAGCAGGCCTGCTTGGGTGAACGCCACGGAACATAGGGCAGCAACGGGAGTCAACACTCTCACAGGCAAAAGGTTGGGGAAGAAGATAAAAATTGGTTGCCTAGTTTTACTTCACAAAGCATAATGTTCTTCCACGGTTCATCCACTGTCTTCTACAAATGCACTGATCTTCCTGTCTTTTTAAAAGGACTAAGTAATATTACATTGCGGCTGGCCAGGCCGCGGTGGCTCACTGCCTGTAATCCCAGCACTTTGGACAGGCCGAGTGGCGGGGCGGATCACGAGGTCAGGAAATCGGAGGACTGTGCCTGGGCCAACAGCGGGTGAAACGCCCCGTCTTCCTAGCTAAAAATATGAAAAGAAGGGTGAGGTCCGGGCGAGGGTGGTTCGGCAGCTGTCTAGTCCCAGCTACTCGGCGGAGCCTGAGCGAGGGAAAATGGCTGTGAACCCAAGGACGGTGCGAGCTGG